ATAAGTTTAAATAACTGTAAAATATATATGTGTGTGTGTACACACACACACGCACACACACACACAGAAGTTTAAAAACATTTATCCATGCACCTCCCCAAAATGCCTACATACGTCTCTTTGGAAAACACTGATTTAGTCCATCCCTGCATTTTACAGGTGAGTACCCCAAGGAACAAGGCCACTGAAGGTCTCGCCTAAGGTCATACATTAGAAGAGCTGGCTGGAAAACCAGAACCCTTGACTGACTGACTCCTGGTTCAGTGCTCCCCTCCTCCTCGTTTCCAATAACTATTCAGAATCGAGGTCAAATGTCTGTGATGTTGATTTATAGTTCATCTCTTATGGTGCCTAAAATAGCACAGGTAGTGAGATGGCAGATGTTCCTCCTGGCCTCATCCCCAAAAAAGGGGGAAAAGGAAATCCAGTGGTTAAAAAATCAGCAGCAGAGTCCCTTCAGGGCAAGGACGGGAGTGGCCTTGGTTTTGTTGGACTATCCTGGCTTCAGTGACTGTCGTTTTCTGTCCCACACCATTATTAGCTGAGAATGTACCTCACTTCCCTGAAGCAGGTACCCTTCAGAGCAATCAGTTACAGTGTGAGGAATTGCTTGAGCTCTGTGCCCTGGAAATCATTAGGTTTTAAGTCCTTGGGAAATGAAATATGTGTAATAGAGTATTAGGTGGAAGAAGGGAGGTGCCTAGTGCTGTGGGTTACGGCATAGGTTAGAGCTGGGCAAGCCGGGCATAAATGGGGCTCCTGCCACTTAGGGAGGCGTGTGACTGCACAGGGCCCTCAGCTGCTCCGAGCCTCACCTTTCCTTGTCGTAAAATGGAAATAATACCAACCTCCTGGAGAATCATTGTGAGGAATAAATGAGACAGAATATTTAAAATGCTCTTCCCAGGGCGCCTGGGTGGCTCAGTCGGTTGGGCATTTGCCTTCGGCTCTGGTCATCATCCCAGGGTCCTGGGATCGAGCCCCTCATCCAGCTCCCTGCTCAGCAGAGAACCTGCTCCTCCCTCTGCCTGCTGCTCGCCCTGCTTGGGGCTGCTCTCTCTTTCTCAAATAAATAAAATCTTTTTTTTTTTTTTAAAGATTTTCTTTATTTGACAGAGTGAGATAGCGAGAGCAGGAACACAAGCAGGGGAGCAGGAGAGGGAGAAGCAGGCTTCCTGCCGAGCAGGGAGCACAATGCGGGGCTCGATCCCAGGACCCTGGGATCATGACCTGAGCCGAAGGCAGATGCTTAACGACTGAGCCACCCAGGCACCCTCAAATAAATAAAATCTTAAAAAAAAAAAAGTCTTAACTATTTAAAAAATAAATAAAATGCTCTTCACAGAGTGCCCAGCACGCAGTAAACACTCACTAAATTTTAACTCATTATTTTAGTGGATATTTAAAATCATTTCTTAAAACAAGGTTGGGGGTGCTTGGGTGGCTCAGTCGGTTAAGCGTCTAATTCTTGATCTCAGCTCAGGTCTCAATCACAGTTTTGAGTTCAAGCCCTGCATTGGGCTCCACACTGTGGAGCCTACCTAAAAAATAAAGTAAGGTTTGCATTTGTATGAATGAAAGAACACATTGTTTCTTTACAGAATATTGTATGTACAATGTACTATCGGTGTAAGTTATGATACAATTGTATATTGTCTTGTTAAACTCCTTTTTAACATTTGTTTAGCGGGGTTCAGATGCAGTCTGTTGACTTCAGAGTCAGAGCTACACCTCTTAAGCAGTAGTGTGTACGGCTTTTCTCTTAGTGGAAATTTCCCAAATTACAGATAACTGAAGTAAACATGACTTAAGAACAAATCTGAAAGCCTCAGCCTTTAATCAAATTCAGGAACAGGAAACTATTGTAACATTTTTAGCTATCAGCTTTGGGAAAAAATGACATTCCCGCAACATGCGAAACATACTGTATAAATTATAAGGAAGGCTAAAAACTCAGGAATAACATTTGTAACTACTTGGGAAGAAAGGAAAAAGATCTGGAAGCAAAGAAGTATCATCAGAAAGCAGCAGGGAGTGGCCTAATGTGTCGAGCCGATGTTTTGGGGGTCTGTGTCTGGGAGTGGTTTGGCATGCACGCTGTTGGGGGACTCCACTGATAATCATGAGCCCTTGTACCCCTTTCTTTGTGCTTTGCGGTCAGCTGGGAACATTTTGGGCTGTCTTTAAAAGCAGCTGGGCCAATAATCCTGAAAAACCCCACGTCAGTCATTTACCGCTCAGTTTATTGTGGCAGATGAAAGAGTCTCCGTGAGGCACAAGCCAAGGCAGTGTTCTCACCTTTTAATCTACCTGCTTTACCAGCTGGGTCCTAAAAGGTAACTTTTGCATCTTAAGTAAGTAGCCAACCTTCCATAAACTTATCCAAAACAAATATGGAAAGCAAGATTAAAGTCAGTGGTAGAATGCTGTTAGGCAAGACCTGTACCGTGTTTTGTTTTAGAGCAAATGGCCTCTTGGATATAGGAGGTTGGGTTTCTATCAGCAGTCTTAATATTTTAATTATTTACTACTACTAATATTTTTAAACAAGCACCTATCCAGGTACCATCATCTGTAGCCTAGAGAGGGACCGGCAGACTTTGAAAGTCTGGATAATAAATAACCTGTGTTAGGCACTGTATACCGTATGGTCTCAGTGCAATTCCTCAACCGAAAAAAGTGTGTGGCTGGATTCTAATAAAAACTTTATTTACAAAAGCAAGTGGTTCACCAGCCATAGTTTACTAACTCCTGATCTAGAATATCTCCTAAATGGTCTTCCTACTCTTCTCTCCTTAGGATCTATTTTCCTTGTCAAGGGGACCTTTTGAAAACATGTTTCTTCCCCAAGTACTCCTCGAAGTTGCTTCCTGTCACCCTTCCTATGAACTCCAAACCCTTACCGTGACCTAGAGCCCTAGGGAACCAGCCCTTGCCTGTGTCTTGGAACACATCTAGTTCCCTCTACTCTTGTGACGTTGATTTCTCTCTTCTGGGCTCATACCTACCAGGCTGGCTCCTGCCTCAGGGCCTTTATCCAGGCTGTTCCCTCTGCCTGGAATGCTCTTCCTCAGATTTTTCGATAGCCAGCTCTTCCTCATCCGTTAGGTCTTAGATCACACGACCTAGCGTGATCACAGTGGTCTTCCCTCATCACCCTGTTTCAGGTAGCTCTCCAAAGCATGCTACGTCATTATCTTCTCTTATTAGCATAATGCTAATTACCAGCTGAAATGATCAGTTATTGGTTAGCTTGTGTACCTGTTACTCCCCACTGACTGCTGATTCAGAGTAGGGGCCTGGTTATTCCTTTTTTTTTTTTTTTTTTTTTTTTTAAGAGAGGGAGAAATAGAATTGGGGAGGGGCAGGTGGAGAGAGAGAATCTTAAGCAGGCTCCCTGCCAGCGCAAAGCCTGATGAGGGGCTCAAGCTCATAAGATCATGACCTGAGCTAAAATCAAGAGTCAGACACTTAACCAACTGAACCACACAGGTGCCCCTCCGGGGCCTGGTTATTCTTGCTCACCACAGGAACCCCAGTGCCTGGAACAGAGCCCAGCACATAGTAGGCATTTGACATTGGTTGGATGAGTTGCCTTATTTTTTTTTTTTGAGTTGCCTTATTTTAACAGCCGTGCTATTTGTGAAGCACGTTCTAGTATACAAAGCTCCTTTGTGTTGAGAGTATGTTGTTAGCTTTCCCCAAACTCTGCGGCAGGTGATGGTACACCCAGAGGATCTCATGCGGAGAGGAGAGGGGCTTGTCCAACACCACAGAACTAGTAAAGAGGAGGGAGAGACCTGACCCTGGATTCCTGACATTTAAGTCCTGCCTTGGGGTTTCAGTGTCATGATTATCTTGGGTTGTTTATTTGTTTAAGGTCATTTATGTTGGTCCCAGAAGGTCTCAGACTTCTGGGCACATTTGGACAAGCTCAGGAGAACTACCACTGAAGACTTGCTCTGTGGGACAGAGCTTCTATCTGCCCCCCCCCTTTTTTTAAAGATTTTATTTATTTGACAGAGAGATAGTGAGAGCAGGAACACAAGCAGGGGGAGTGGGAGAGGGAGAAGCAGGCTTCCCGCTCAGCAGGGAGCCCGATGTAGGGCTCGATCCCAGGACTCTGGGATCATGACCTGAGCCGAAGGCAGGCGCTTAACGACTGAGCCACCCAGGCGCCCCTTCTATCTGCCCCTTAATCCACACCTATTTATTAAGCTTAATTTAGGGACTAACATCAAGAGCAGTGGCTGTAAATATTCTTCTGATTAAATGAAAGAGTTGATTTATCATGAAGATCACATTTAATTTTCCAATAAGAATGAAGTAGATAAATCCCACGTAGCATTTGTTTCTGGGGGGAAAACGTTTTAATAGCTATGTGATCATTTTTTTAACTGATAAATATTAAAAATTGAAACAGCTCTCAGAGGTTATCTCACTTTGTCCAGTGCAGGAATCCTTCTGAAGTAGTCTGGACAGAGGGTCATCTCCCCACTGTTTGGACACTTCAATGAGGAGCAGCTTACTATTTTAGATCTCCGTAGATGACATCATCACTTTATAGGCGTTGAAGTTATGGGATGGATGTTTTCCTAACGAGTTGTCATGTTTGAGGAAACACAGCCTTTTAAGTAGTATTGGGGAGCTTGTTTCCTAAGGGAGTCCTGTGATAAAAGCTTTTGAACAAAGTTCTTCATATTTTTGGTCTCCTCTCTTTTCTTAGAATGCAGTATACCTGTATTTTAAGTGATGGCTTAAAAATACTAATTTGTAGAAGACCAATGTTTGGAAGTATTTTATTTCTAAAGACATTGTTGTTAAGGCCAAAAGAGAATTCAGTTAGCAGTGAAAAGTGTCTGTCCCCTCAGTGACAATGGCTTGCGTTAATCTAGGTCGGGGGAGAAATGGGACCACAGGCCTTTTAAGAGGACCCCTCTTTCGCCCTCACATGGGGCCAGGATTTGTTACTGAGTGTTTAAATCTGATTCTCTCTGTAGATTGCTGCTAAAATTGATTCAGTTCCTCACTTGAATAATTCCACACCTCTAGTGGACCCCTCAGTGTACGGATACGGAGCACAGAAACGGCCCTTGGATGACGGAGGTGAGTTGCAGTAAATGTCTTTGCCTTTCAGATGGTAGCGAACCTGCCAGTTAAGTTGGAGTTGGTGTCAGCCATTTCCTTAACAGCTCTCCAGCGTCTTCCTGAAGAGGAACAGTGGAGGGGACATATTGGGGATGATTGTTCTGCACAATTCTCCGGCATTTGAGTTCTTATTTGCCTTGATAATACGGGAATGTTTTCAGCTGGGCTCTAAGGTAAAGGACTCGCTTGGCCTTTGCACATCAGCTCGGAAGTAATTTGACTGATTCGAGAATTCTGTTTGCTTTAGCCCTCCGTTCTTCAAAGACACACGTGGAAATTGAAGTTCCCACTTTTCTCCAAAGAAAAGCTATGATTTGGTGCATGGCCCAGAGGAAGCTGTGGCTACATCCTGACCTTAAAGATAAAGGGCAAGGGGGGGTGACCTCTTCGCGGTCTGCTGAGTTTTTCAGCACTCCTGTTTATGACAGGCTCTCCCCACAGGCGCCCGTCTTTCCTTCATTCATGTGTTACTTTGTTGGTTTCTGTCTATACTTACTTCAGCCCACTTAAAAGTGCCTGTCACCAGCAGCTTGGCAAAGAGTATCTGTCAGATTGGGTGTGTACAGGGAACTCGGACTTCCTTGATCACATTTTGTGTCTTGCAAAGTATGACTTATTGTAAAAGGGAATCGGAAATGTACTGGTTTGTACATGAATATGCACGCAGCGTGTCTTCTGTCCTACTGCCTGTCTGCATGTGTGCCCAACCATGTGTATATGCACATATCTCTACGATGTATTATTAAATGGAAAAAGATCAAGGTGTACAACAGTAGATACGGTGTAATTTCCTTTTCCGAAAAAAGTGCGTGTTTTGATGTATGTAGAAAAAGTAATGTGGTGTGACTGGTTTCTCACGTCTCTTAGGGAATCCTGAAGGGGAGATTGCCATTGTTTTTAAATGTGCTGACCTTTTTGGAATAATTGTATAGGGTCAGCGTGAAGATTTTAAGGGGGCTGCGCTCATCTGGGTATAAAAGTTCTTGTCTATTTAAAGGAACTGTTTATGAGCGCACACACACACAACCTACCCCAGGGCCATTGGAGCTAAGGTGCCCATTTTAAACTGCTATTCCAAAATGGTACCCTGTGATCTTTTTATATTTGATTGGTGTTAGTGATTTCTTAAAAGAAATATGACTGATTGCATTGTCTGCATTTTTGCCGACATGAAAAACTATAATGCAAAGTGACCTTTTTACCTTTTCAAGGCAGTCATGCTTCGGTTTCTCTTATGGGACATCGATATAAAAATAAAACTAAGTTGTCTGGCTCTGAGCACATGCTCTGGTAATGGACAGTCCCTCTGCCCCACTGTTTCCAGAAATCATGATCAATATCTTTCACAGCTCCCTGCCTTGCTCGCCCCCCCCGTGTGGCGGGAAGTGTAAAACCTGTGTGTGCCTAGCACAGGCGATCACTGTGTCCTTTGCATAAAGAGCGCCTAGATATTTGCAGATGAACCCACGGGCGCTGGGCCGACTTTCTTCTCCCGTTAATCCTCTGTACACCCATTTGAGGGAAATTCGTAGAAGGCTCTGAGTTTATCAAGAAAGAGACCTCGGGAGCAGGCAGATGTAGCTAGGGAGTCACGGGAAATTCCAGAATCTCACTTGGAACTCCAGTTCATTGCTCTGTGGTGTATTTTCACCTCTGTTTTGAGAACCATAATTTTTTCCATGTCTGCCTTTGGGGACTGAGTCCTTGGAATCAGAAAACAAACATGGTTTCTCTTTTTCTTCCTTCTAAATATGAAGCCCAGTTACAGTAGGGAAGAACTGAGAAAGAACCTTCCTGTCTGGGGCCAGCTCTCCGTCTTACACTAGACTGTGTGAAGAACAAGAAACTTCCCTCAGGCTTTTTACACTGGACATGACAGCTTGATAGTTAATCCTCTTCAGTTGAGCACCTTTCCAACAACAGAATTATGTAAATTGTTTTCCTCCAAGTCGGTCTCCACCCATGGCATCGGAGATGTGCCGTCAAGTTCAGAGAGAACTCTGGGCGTTTCGAACATGTTCAGGGCAGGCCACGGTTGTCTTCTGACAGGGATAATAAGGTCACTGGGCCATTCCTCTTCTCGTGGATAAATACATATGTGAATAAACAGGTCCTGTCAAGGACAGTGATGTTCATGGTTACCCGACAGCTTCCTAGGGGTCACAGTCGTGCCATTTGTGAGAGGAGAGTTTAGAAAAGCAGAGACGGAACAACAAACAGGAATTCTGCACTTTTTTCTGAGCAATGAAGATTTCCAAATCTTCACGGTTCTTCCATTTGTTTGGTTTGGCTCGGGTGTTTTTGACAGAAGTTCACCAGATCACTTCTTTAGCAACATGAACTTTCTGACTTTCCTGGGAAGCCGGATTCTTTAACCTCTCAAGGGTTGAAGCCCAGTTCCCTAGAAGTTTCTGGAGGTGTTGCTTGGGTCTGTCTAAAAGTGCTTCAACTCATTAAGTCAACCAGAGAGAACCCTCAGAAGCCTCAAGGTTTCTGCAGGACATTGAGATCTGCAAACAAGTACACCAATAGGAGGACGAAAACAAGTAAAATAAGGGAAAGGATTTGTTCTTGTTGTAGGAAGGGACCGGTTAGTTGTGTCCTGGGCAGCTTTGAAGCGTCACACTGCCGGCTCGTGAGCCCTCTCGGAGCCCAGCAAGAAGGGGTCGGAGCGTGGCTTTCCTTGCCTGCCTTGGTGCCCTGACCTGGGCCGAGCAGTCGGTCCACTGCCCTCTGCTTTGGGTCAGGTCCTTGTAAGCATTAACATCTTCGCTCTTGGCACCCACACTTCATAACAGTCTTTGAGGCGCACCCTGCCAATTCGGGAATCTTCCTGCTAGCCTCAGTGTGGCAGACAGCTTTTCCATCTGGTACTTTCTTCCTGCTACAGCTGAGGCCTCTGGCTGAAGCCGGTCTGACCAGTTCCGTTCCTCTGTCCTAAGACCTGTGGCAGCTTCCGGTAATCAGGGGGGTCCAGCCCTTCCTAACCTGCCCTTCTACTCTGGCTCCCCCCGTCCCTGTTGTTCTGCGCTCTGCAGCAGCCTGGTCATCTGTCTCTTCTCTTTGCTCTTCCCGAAACCCATGCCCCCTCCCAGCTCTTTACCTGGCTAAGTCCTGCTTGGTCCTTAGGTCTCAGAATTGGTGGGACATCCTCCTGAGAACCTGGCCTCATCCTCATCTTTTGCCTTTCTTCAGTGCCTTGCCAGATGCCGCCGAGCCTCTTCACTTGTCCCCTGTTCTTCCTCCCTCCCCCTTCCCCCTTTCCACATACCCGCCTGACCAGAGAGTAAACAGGTCACATTCTGCTCTGAACCTCGAAAGCCGTTCATTTGTCCCCTTCCCAGGGCACACACCTACTTTATTCTGCAGATACCAGAGTATATCATGTGCCTCTCCTACTAGATTCTGCAGGCTGTGATCCTGGAGATGGGCTCTTTCCCTCTCTCCCTCCCTTACGTAGTAGATGAATAAACGCTTGATGCTTCCGTTCTTTCTCTTCATGTCCTACGATTAGCATTTAGAAAATTTTGTGAAAAGTTAGATCCAAAGCAAAGAGACTGGTATTAGCTTAATTTAATCTGAATCGGGGGTTGGCGTAACTTTTCTTAAAGGACGATACGGTAAATTTTTTTAAACTTTCAGGCCATATGGGCTCTGTCCCACCGACTCAGCTCTGCTGTCAGCTTGAAAGCAGCTGGAGACAATCAGGAAGCACAGGAGCATGGCTGTGCTGCTGCTCCACAGACCGTCAGTCTTTGAGGTTTATGTACTACTGTTTAGATAGTACCGCCTTTTAAGGTTATCTGGATGGCGTTCATGGTGAGCGAAGGCAGAGTTCTTGAGTGTGCTCTCGCATGAACCACTTACAGGAAGATCAGGACAGAGTATCGCTGTGGCCCCGGACAAGTTTCGGTTCAGCTTGTGTGGCCCAGGGACAAAGAGAAGGAGGAAACAAGAAGGAGGCGGGAAGATTTTTTTTTAATCCACACTTTTCAAGAGAGAAGAGGGATGAAAGGTGCCGGTGCTGAATAGTGGGGAGGGCCAGGGTTCTTGCTGCTGGGCGGCAGTGGTGTGTGGACCGCTACCTCTGGCCCACGCCACCTCTGGCAGGAGTCTCTGCTCTGAAAAGAGAGAACCTGAATCCGACACATGCTCGTACCATCCCTGAAGGAGGAGAATGATGGAAGCTGCAGGGATGAGGAGCCAAGACTAGACCTTAGTCCCTGAGGCCTGGGGGGGATGGGATGGGGCAGGGATGGAGCGAGGGATCAGGAGTGTTGTCCAGCATTAGACTTCAAGCAGGGGGAGTGAAGACCCCTGAGGTGGGGGAGAGGGGTTTCCAAGAGCCCTGTCCCAGCTCTTCTATTTGTGTGCCCCCTTTTCCCTAAAATGGATCTGAGAATTGGGTCTGTGGTGGAGTCACTGTGCCCCTCTCATCTCTGTGTCCCCTGCCATATTTCCCCTTGGTTTATGGTGGCACATCACCATCCTCAGATGCCTCAAGAGGCGTGAATCCAGAATTCTGAGTGGGGCATTCCCCAGCAACAAAGCATGAGAGTCTTGGTAAGAAATATTGAAAGGGACAGGATCTGATTTTTATTTTTATTCAGGTAGCAACTCATCGCAGAGACTCAGGTAGTCCCCTCCTCCCCGTCCATCCATCCATCCATTTTAGGATTAAAATTTAGAAGTGGGTGGTAGTCATATGGGTGCATATTAACATGTATGTGTAAGTTGGAAAAAGGAAGTGAAATTTTTCCCCCCTGGCGAAGTATGATCTGACAGGTTTGACAGTTGGCTTAGCCAACTAGATATCCCATATAGTAGATAGAGATGATCCGCAGAAATGAATGAGCTAATACATCTGTCACATCGGTGTTACAAGAGAGATACAACCGAAGCTTCTGTACAATACCTGCTATGTTCTTTGTACCTGTTAACGTAGGGATTCCTTTTAG